GGTATCTACGTGATGTGTGACGATAGTAAGTCACATCTGATGAAGACCAGAAAGTCTACAAGTTATTTTTGATTCTTGAAAATAGGAAAAGTAGGGAGTAGTTATAAAGTAGAGAAAAGTTATATTATTTAAAGTTATTTTTCTTACATCGAATAAGTTTTTTTTTTCTCGAAAAAGTAATTTGTCATGATATGTTGCCCTGGAGATTGTCATATAAATAAAAGATAAATATAATCATGGACGTATAGTCTAGTCCATGATATAATCAAGATTTCGAAGATTGAATGTTGCATTGGTAGTTGTAAAAGGTGTTTTTTTCTAAAAATATTTTCCAAAAAAAGCTTGCTTGTGAACATTTAAAACGTTAAGGTTAAACAGTGTACCATATTTTCTCTATTGGTGGTGCATGTGTTTACGTGAATGACATTCAGTGTGCAATAAATGCAACTGTTTTACATCCGCTTCTATTGGTGGTGCAAACACAAATACGAGAACAATAACTGTGTGAATCCTTAGACTTTATCTAGATAGTACGTTTATTGACACAACACTGACTTAAGAAAATATAGTGGTAAGGTCACTAAAAAACTATTAAAATTATTAAAGGGCGGCAATCGTCGTGTCGCGTCCTGTTCGATATGGGACCCATAGCGACGTATACAACGCGTGTAAAATACATTGTTTATTTACATGAAATTCGAACACGCGCGACGACCACCGCGCTTTAAAGTTAAAGACAAAACTAAAGAAAAAAAAACACTTATTAAAATTAAATTATAACAAAATAAACAATTTACAAGTACATTTATTTCAGAAATTGTATGCACGACCACAGTCCCTCTATATAATATAGAGGGAGTGTGGCACAACATATGTTCATTTCCTGACATGTCAAAAATAATTTCCAAAACTTCTATTTTCTTCAAGTTGCGGACTTGAACCCGTGTAAAGTTGGAGTAGTTTATGAATGTTTAGACAACGAGTTAAAGTGTGTGCAGTGTGACGGTTGGCGGTGTCACATGTCACTCGGGGTCGTTTGGTTGTCCATCTTGTCAATACTAGGCACCTTCTCGGAGATAAAACGCGTTCATTCCAAAAAATACACACAACACGATAAGTTCAGAGCTGTAGACTGAAGTCTATATCATTAACATCACTTGGTGTCATAGCCAGAATTGTCAGACTGACATGGTGAACTAGCGTGTTAGTTGGTATCTATCAACGGCGACTATTGCGGTGTATCCAAGATTACGTATATTCGTGATGGCCAGTTTAGCTGGAATTAATTTTCGCTGAACAGACCATTTGGGGAGTTTATTTTCATGGATTTTGATGAGTTGAATGTAAAACATAGGGAGAAAGGTATATTCGCTAGATTTTATTTTCACTGAATTATCCTTTAAGCGACAATAATAAAATAAATTCCAATCGGAAATAAAGAATGTTACATTCGCATTAGCTAAATCACTAGACCTTAATAACATTTAAATCTAATATAACGCGTTCCCATAGCAACCAACATTGTCAATTCGCGCTATGACAGACACTATCTATGATCATTGAATAATTCAGCCCTACATCAACACGCGGACACTTACTTGGGTTGAGTGACTGGAGCCAACAAATCTGTTGTGAGCAAGATATGTGAAACCAAACTACCGGTACATATGGTATTTCGGTACATGTATCGAAGTACAGAGAAGTACGTTGGAATCCTAGAAACATTAATTGGTACTCATGGCACGATAATAAAGGCATTATATAGTCTATTACGATTTTGAGGAGAACGTCTTATCGATTTACGGGGAAAAATAATTTATACATCTGTGTCCGTGTTAGTTAGTGAACAATTTGAGCTTTTCAGGTGCGCGTGGTGAGTGTTGTTACGTCAATAATTTGAATGCGCATTCCAGGAAAGAAATTCGGTGTCTTTATGCTAAGATTGGTTGACTGATTGATTTGGGAATAGGAACATAGCAATGGTTTCTATGGTAATGGGAGAATTGTTATAATAAAACATGCTCGCTTGCCATTGACTGAATTAGAAAAATTTATTTTGAAAACTAGTATGTGATACTAAAAATGAAATTATTCTCCAAATTTTGTACACAAGTTTGCTTGACTTTGCTGGTGTAGAAGGGATGGTCACTGCATGGTTGCGTTGGCCAGGTTGTTTTTATATATATGTACAAGTCATTTTTATGTGAATTACGCTTGTGCGTTTGTATTTTAACTTTACCATTACAACTGCATATCATGCTTACCATTGGATAAGATGTCAATCTTGTAATTCCGCAGCGTTCATGTTCTTTTAAGATATCCTAAAATGAAAGTTAAATTATATATATTGCTTTAATATACAATTTCTACTCTAAGTATATACGTGTTTTTGTTATTGTAACTTTCATGCATTTCTCTGCTAGTTATTATTTATACCAGTAAATAAAAAAATAAAATATTAAATATAAAAATAAAATACTCAAAGTTATCCATATTTCCCATTTAACCGATTATCATAACACATTCGTAAATTAGAAGACTACAATGTAGCGACAATTCCGAGTTAGTGAGTCAGTGTCTAAAAACTGAAAATGGTACCGGATCACAAGGGGAAAATAACTATTTACGTAAGCGCCGAATAATTGCAGGCAATTATGTTACATATTTCGATGATCATACTTTTGATGTACATGACTAGAGAAAATACAACCAAATACTTTCCTGGTAAACTTTTGATATTTATTATGTACAGAGGATGAAAACACATAATCTGGATTTTATGAATATAGTGTTTGCTTAACATGACAAACAATTTATTTTTAATTAATATCGGACTTTTTTTTAGAAACTTCACTCTCCTAATAGACGTTAGATTATTACTCACATACAAGTATTTCGTATTTAGTTTCGAAATTACTAAAAGTTTTAGTCAGTACTGAAAGCGAGGCTGAGTTTTCCCCAATTGTCTCCTTACGCCACAGTAGACAATACTGTTTTCACAAATTTCTCGTTTAGTTTCATTAAATATCCTTCATTTTGTTTGCTTATATTTAAAATATATTCATTTTCTAGTTTTAAATACAATATTGTGGTTGAAAGATAAGATACGTTTGGAACTACATTGTTTCCTGGTACTACAGCACCTTCCTACGCACTTCCGCCGTGGGAGGATTTGTTTTCGTTTTAGCCGAAGCAGCCGAGTGTGTTTGTGTCGGTACATTTGTCACGCCTCTGGACGTGTAGTATACCGTTTACTACGAACCGTACATACAGACAACTTTTAATTGCCGGAACACCGGGCTAGTATCGCCGGTCGTCGAAATAGCTTTTATTGCAAAGCGAGCGATCGATCGAAGACCGCCTTTTTGCTTTTCAAGTTTGGGTCAGAGACAAGACTATCGCGGCCGCCGGGGAGGTCGGGCCTTGATCATCAATAGTTCAACTTCCAAGTTGGTAAGATTCACTCGTAATTTTGGTAGTACATGTAGTGCAATTGTCGCCTAAAAATAGTCTCAGGACAACAAGGTCGTTCGCATGTCCTGGCTTGCATTTTACCTCGAAGGTCAAATGTCAGTGCTTCTTGTACTCACTGGTATCAAAATTGTTATGATCATTGCCCATGTTATGACCCTAGCATTGGATAAGATTGTCATATAATACATATGAACAGTGCTAGTGAATTATAATAGTAAAGTTTTGGAAATTTTCCACCACTGTGTATATTGCGGATATATGTACAAACAGAGGTAAAGAAATAAAACAAAATTGAATACAAATTTTTTTTTAATGCAACGACCGACAATGTACACAGTTGAACAACACAAAAATCCCTAAGTTTTTTTTTTTTCAAAATGTCCCATGCCAAAAAAGTCAGATTTGAAATGAAATAAAATTAGAGCTTAAAAATGTATGATATAAGGAGTGGTACTGGGTTCAAACTCCACTGTTTATTGTTTTATCTTTATGATATGGCTAACCCTTGATTTGAATTGTCTAATCAGCAAAATAAATGAAAACTAAAATTTATTGAATTAAGAATTTCATAGTAAAACTGTATTTGTTATCAATTTATAATTAAAAGATTCAGTTAATTAAATTAGGCCCAGAATTGAATACCACATACTGTTCTTTGGATATAATAGTATGTGATTCTTGTGCAAATACAGAATACAGTGCTCTACTTGTCAGTAGCTGGGTATCACATAGTGGACATGTGTTCATTTTTTACTACTGACGTGTGTCCCTACAATAGATTTGTGCATTGTGTATTATATAATGTATGAGTAGGTATATTCTTTTTTCTGTTAATATGGTAGTAATTTGATATGAGTATGTTTATTGATTCCAGAAACTATTTTAAAATATGCTCATAAAAATACCAAAGTATTGGCATTAGAGTATGGGTGGTTGTTGCAAGATGATGGGTGTGGGTGTGGGTGTAATGTTGTAATGGCATCTTGATACCCAATTTATTGTATGTTTTTTACAAGTCATTTTTTTTCTGGTGTTTCTGTTCTCAAAAAAAAAAAGTTGGCATTGGTATTTTTGTTTCCCAATGTAATTTTTACCACTTTATCCAAAGTTGCTTGTCTGCATAATGAATGTAGAAGTATTTAGCTTAGTTTTAGGATACATTGAATCACTACAAGTCAGATTTGATTTGGATTCCAATTTTGAAACTTGAATGAAATATATTGCTTGTTTACACAAATTTTGAAGGCATATTTCATGATGAATAGTAAGTATGTTTCTGACATTGAGTTAGATCATCTTTATAGCATCTTAGTTTCACTGACTGGTTGAGGCAAGGCCATCATCATCATGAAATCATTTCGCTGCATACAATACAAGATGTACAATAAGACTACGAGAAATGCCTCTTATATCCTACAGTTTCGCTAAACTTGTCAAATTTGAAAAATTGTAGTGTCTGTAGTTTGTCACTTTTTTTTTTGTTAAATTCAGATAATTAGATGAAAGTATGATGGAACAGGTAACTTATCAAGTGGGATGTGATGTTGATGGGGCAGTCAATAAACTTTCACTGATGGGGATAGACGAAACAAGTCGATCATTGGTAACCAACGGAAAGTGTGAGATGGAGAAGAAGGAGATAGAAATAGATATGAGAGTAGCAGTATTCTGTACAGAAGAAGATGAAGAGGAACGTTTAGAATATGGGATTGTGAAGTACATAGGAATACTCAAACATCAACAGCAGCCTTATGTTGGCATTGAACTGGTTAGTACTTTAACATAGTTGGTTAAAAATATTAACTTAGTTTAAATTAACATTTGCAATTGTAGCCTATGAATTCTTTAGGAATAATAAAATCAACAAGTTGTTGCTATGGTAATTACAATGACGTGATGTTCAATTTTGTCTTTTTACCTTTCCAGTATCATCAAAGATGGAAGGGATGTTATCGTTGTTGTTAATAATTGTCATTGTGTGCACAATAACTTTACTAATTCTATTCCAAACTTTATCAAACTTGGTCACCTTATTCATCAGTATAAAATCTTCTCTTAGTATGAACGACAGGTATCTTGTGAAAATATCATGCAAAAGTAGAGAAAATCTGATAAAATATTTTGACTGTTTCTACTTGACTGATCACTGGCGATACACATTCAAAGGTCACTGATCTCAGTGGAAATATGCATTGTTGTTTGTGTTCAATGAAGTAAATCATTTAACTTGTAATAATATCATTGGTGATGTATCTCCCAAACCCCATGGGAATACTAGACTGGAGAGAGTTTTCGCACAGTCTGATACACATTTGCAAATCTACCATTAAAATCTTAACAGAAAACAAGATGTCAGATAATCAATATATGCACTCCTATGTAGTAGGTGCCAAACCTTTGATTTAAAAACGCACTTCAAAAACAACTATTTGCATTCTTTGGCAATTCAACTTCTGTCCATTAATTGTCATATGCAATGTCAACTCTGATTAGCCGCATGCTTAACAGGCTTTCCAACCACTACAAGAGAAGTGGTGATGGTTGTGGAACCATAACTGCCTCAGTACAAAGACTGTTATGTAATGGAAGGGAATGTAAAGGGAAAGGTATTGTAGTGTTACCTCTGTGTAATTTACAATATATCTGCATTAACCTTCACTGTGAAGGACAGTGTGGGCGTTTACTTAAGTGGCTGGTAGAAGCATGGCAATTTTATTGTCGTCGCCTCTGATTCTATTTACTGGTAGAAGCATGGCAATTTTATTGTCGTCGCCTCTGATTCTATTTACTGGTAGAAGCATGGCAATTTTATTGTCGTCGCCTCTGATTCTATTTACTGGTAGAAGCATGGCAATTTTATTGTCGTCGCCTGTGATTCTATTTACTGGTAGAAGCATGGCAATTTTATTGTCGTCCCTTGATTCTATTTACTGGTAGAAGCATGGCAATTTTATTGTCGTCGCCTCTGATTCTATTTACTGGTAGAAGCATGGCAATTTTATTGTCGTCGCCTCTGATTCTATTTACTGGTAGAAGCATGGCAATTTTATTGTCGTCGCCTCTGATTCTATTTACTGGTAGAAGCATGGCAATTTTATTGTCGTCACCTCTGATTCTATTTACTGGTAGAAGCATGGCAATTTTATTGTCGTCGCCTCTGATTCTATTTACTGGTAGAAGCATGGCAATTTTATTGTCGTCACCTCTGATTCTATTTACTGGTAGAAGCATGGCAATTTTATTGTCGTCGCCTCTGATTCTATTTACTGGTAGAAGCATGGCAATTTTATTGTCGTCACCTCTGATTCTATTTACTGGTAGAAGCATGGCAATTTTATTGTCGTCGCCTCTGATTCTATTTACTGGTAGAAGCATGGCAATTTTATTGTCGTCGCCTCTGATTCTATTTCGGCCATTTCACAATCAAGTGTACCATTTGGATTTGTGAAGTGTTACGAGCTCCTTGTATGAAACCTTTTTTTTAAGAATGGTAGTATCATATTCTGAAAAAGCCCCCTTGTTGACGATAAAAACAAAACAAAAGTTATGGAAATCGCTTAATATTTGGCGAAGATATTAATGAATTTAGCACCCCAAATTGGCTATTTTTGGCTGTTACGAGCAGCCACTTGCATTTTCCTTAATTTTGAGAGAGAACACTCATTATGAATTTATTAAAAATTCTACATAAATGTTCTATCTAAATCCTAACTTAGTAACCTGTCTTTTGATGTTTGAAGCTCACTATTAAGAGATGTTTTGCAATTTCTGTCCTCAATGACAAAATTTGTAAAAAGCAGCATTTGTTACGGTATTTATACTTTTCATTCTGGCTTAGCTAAATTCGTTCAGAATTATACCATTTATGCTATAAAAAGAACAAATGTATCACTAATATGTAGCCCATGCTATGGCCACTACTGGGAAGGCAGCATATCCTCACCAGGAAATTTGAAATATGAAAAGCATACATTAGAAAATGACTCCTCCACCGTCTCCAATGTAAATTCAGTGTTTGACTGTTAATTGTACTTTTAGAATTAGTTTTGTTCCTCAGTGACCATCAGAATATTGCAAATAAACTGAACAAGGTAGAGTATGGCATAAGTGTAGTAGTAGATTATCTATCTCCACAGAAATATGTGAATATTAACCAATTTCTTCATGCAAGGCAACACATATGGGCTGTAACTTATGATACATGTACAAACCTACTATTGTGGTGTCTGTACCCCTTGCATGGTATGTTCCTTAAAATTAATGGCAAATGAAGAAAAATGCAGTTTGTGCAAAAATATTTTAGCATGGCATGCCCAAGGTATGTAGCTATAAAAAAATGTTATTAACTAGCTGATATGTTGAAGATGAATTTTATCCCTTTGTGGCTGCTAAATAGTACACTTGATTGTGAAATAGCCGTCTACAAGTGTTGTATTAACTAAATGAAAAGACCATAGTCACAGTGAAAACTTCTAGCAAGTCACCCCTCTAAAAATGTTTTCAACCAGCCTAGACCAATCATTAATATGTTGGGTAATTACTCTGGCCAATGATATTGAACTTTGCTCTTCGATAAAGCAGCGGTTTCCCACTTCAAATGACACTCTTGATACCCTGGAGATGTATGTCTATTGTTTCACAGGAACGACTGTCGCTATGATGGATGTATTGTGAGTATTTTAACCCCTCCCCCCAAATCTTGACCTTGCATTCTGGCTACATTTACTCCCTTTTCATACCAGTTTGATTTTCTTTCATTATTTCATCCAGATTTATGATCTTTAATATTTAAAACCAACCCTCATTTCACAGTTTTTATTTTTATAAAATTATTTAACTGATCAAAAGACTTTTCACTCTCATCATTCAATCCCCCATAGTCCTTCCACAGACACAGCGATGAACACCAACATAACTACAAAAAACCCTTACTCTCTGGAGCTGAGGAATGACTATTTGAGTTGATTTGTATACAAAGAAGAGCTTGCAACTTGATAGTTATTTCTAAAGGGTGTTTTTTTACTTTATAGTCGTCACACAATGAATATAATAATGCAGTTCATATTTGTCTCAGTAAGATTTTCTGTTATCTTGCATGTTTTACGAATCTATTCATGTCTTAATGCAGCACTTTTTTTCTGAAATAAGGCATTTGTTTTTATACTAAAATATCTGAATTAATAATAAAGCTGGAAATTATGTTCCTTCAAATAATTAAACAAATTAGCCAGCAATGTTTTTGTAAGATATTTACATCAATCGATAGACTGCTTTCCCCACTGCTGTTTCAATTCTAAAACTTCTTTGTATTCAAAATTAATTATAACAATGCATATTTATATTGAAACAAACTATGATAAAGGAAATAATATTATACAACAAAGGGCAAGATCACCAGAGTTTAACTATGTTTAAATTTATCACATCCTTAGAAATATAATGATTCTATCAGCTAATAGCAATGCTGTAAAGAATCTTATTTTCACATGGAATTTATTTTCGCTGAAGAAATGAATCAGTGAAAATACCTTTTTATCTCTGCTGTTGACTTTAATAGTGGACAACTTAGAGCTGTTTGCATTACTGATTGTTCGTCGTCCAACCATGTAAAATGTACATTGTCGACTTTTTTCAAGGGAATGAATCAGTGAAAAATACCTTTTTATCTCCGCTGTTGACTTAGTGGACAACTTGGAGCTGTTCACATTACTGATTGTCTGTCGTCCAACCATGTAAAATGTACATTTTGGACTTCTTCTCAAAAATGGCAAGTCTACTTGCTTTAATACTTAGTACCTGTATTTATATGTATCTTGGGTTGACCTCGCTCTAATTTTGATGAATATTTTTGTAATTTTTTGTAAAAAATGCTATTTTAGTCCAATTGCTTCAATATTTCATTTGTAGATACCTTAAGTGAAATAAACTTCATACAAAACAGCTAAAATCTAGCTAAAATAAAGTATTTTACGCAAACAACTGTAGTTCTATAAAAAAAATTGGGTATATACAAATTATTTAAAGATTTTTATGTCCCGAAACCACAATACCGTGTTTGCCCTATTAGAAAGTTCTAAAGTTTTCAAGCCATCCTATAGCATGCCATGGTTTCCCAGGAATTCTAAATTAGTCTGCAATGCTATTGCATCTGCAACATAATAATACATCTAGTATTGTAAACAATATAATCCTTCATTCATTTCAGCTTTCATATTTTCTCATGTGTGGAGTAAAATATTTCACCAATATTGACGTGTTGAGGATTATTGACGTCACATTTGAACACTTTTCTTTGTATACATGGGAAGCAGAAATACTTATCACATGTGACAGAAATAGAACGTTTTCAAAGTAAAAAATTGTTTTCATTGCCATTTTGGTTTATAGAGTATACAGTCATGTCACAGTTTCTCTTATTAACTATGAAATGTTCCACAAACTTCTGAAGAAGCGTGTGTTGTTCATAGTACAGTACAGATATCTAGAGTTATAAAGAAAACTTGTATAAAATCTTATGTAAAGCTATCATTATTTGCCTGCATATGAATTTATTAGCTCCGCTGTCGACTTTGTCGAGCGGAGCTTATCGTATGAGTGATTGTCCGTCGTCGTCGTCCGTGTCAATGTTTTACTTTTTCAACTTCTTCTTGAAAACTACAAGCCTGAATGCTTTGATACTTGGTGTATATGTACCTTGTTCATTTCATGATGATATCTTCAATTCTCTAATTTTAGTGTATATTTTTGTCATTTTTGGTAAAAAGTAAAAAGTCCAATTGCTTTGATATTACGTATATAAGTACTAAATGTGGACCTCTTTCAGATTTGTTCATTTTGTAATGATATCTTTAATTATCTAATTTTGATGATTACCGGTATTTTTGCTGAAAAGTGATATTTTTGAATTCTTTTTGAACACAGCAAGTTCTGTTGCTTTGATACTATACATATTGTTCATTTTCTAATGATATCTTCTGTTCTTTAATTGCAATGTGCATTGCTCACAGCGAAGCTATCTTAGCCGACAGGCTGCTTGTTAATATTTATTTTGATATTATTTTTATTATATATTTAGTCATCTTCATCTCTTTGAATTTAAAGTTGCTTTCTAACCCTATAGTTTATTGGGGTTAACTTATGAGAAATACTTGATGATCAAAGTTTATGCCATTGTTTCAATTACAAAACCCTCAATAATTCAAAACTGGGGTGAATTTTTGTGAATTCATGTGCAAAGAAAATTTAAACTGACAATCAAATGGAATGTGCTGAAAAATGTGAGTGTTTATTATCTATTCACAATTTGTATAATTCAGATCATCAAATATTTCACATAATAACCCTAAATACCCCAATAATGGTCTATGAATGCTAGAGTGAATGTTTTATGGAGCACCAAAGTGAGATCAATTTAACATAAAATAAACACTAATTTGACAATGGTATGTTATAATTATAAACTAATTTCAGTAGTTATAGGCTATTAATAAAAGATAATAAAAAGTTCATAATGGCTGTATTTGTATCAACCCTCTGAGTGAGTGTCAGGCACCATATACAAAATAGTTCCATTTATAGTCTGCTTTTTTCCTTGGAAAATGTATATGAAAATTTAATTTTTTATCAAAAACTAGAAGCAGTGTCAGATTTAGTATGTTTGGTCCAAAATTAAGATTGAATTACAGAAAATGTGAAAAAAATTCACTTTATTTTGAGGGGAAATATTTAAGGTTAAATTAATATTGAATATTGACTCATGGTTTAATTTCATTCATCATTTTTTACTCCTGTGTGCGAAGCACAAAAGGGAGTCTTTGCAGCTCCCCTATCTGTCTGTATGTACGTCTGTATGTACGTCTGTATGTATGTATGTCACTTTTTTTGTTCCACCGTTATCTCAAAAACCATTAATCAAATTTCGATGAAACTTGGTACATAGATGCTCTGGGATAATGCGCAGAGTTATTGATTAGGTTTTGGTAAAACATATTATATGAATATTAATTACCTAATTTGCATAATAATTAGCTTATTTTTAGCTGTTCCACTGATATCTGAAGAACCACTCATTGGATTTTGATGAAACTTGGAACATGGATGCTCTGAACTAATGTGCAGATTTGATTAGTTTTTGGTGAAAATCTATGAATATTAATTATCTAATTTGCATGATAATTAGTCAATTTTTGGCTTTTCCACTGAAGTACTGATCATTTCATTTCATTTTACATGAACATTTCAATAAAACTTGGTACATAGATGTCATGTGACACTTCACAGACCTGATAGTTTTTAGAGTAATATCAGTACTTATTAATTACCTAATTTGCATAATTAATTAATTTTTAGCTTTTGATATTAATACAAAAAAGCTGCTGTCTCTAAAGTAACTGGGTAAGTGACTCAATTTAAAAAGCCAAATATCTTGATTTTCAAGAAGCTCTAAAAATTATTCTGTTTAAGCTGCTCAATTTGATATTGCTTATTGAAGGGACTTCCGCAAAATATTGTCATGGAATTATTTAGTTACTCGGACATTCACCCACAATTTATATCACCCTGTAACAAACTGATGGTGTTCGTGCCAATCAGTGGTCGACTCTCACAGACATCACCAGTTCAACACTAACAAAACTCTTGCTTGGACGACCACAAGCAACCAGTACGCTCCCATCTGTCGAGGAATGGTACATGGGGATGAAATCAATGAAAACACACACAGAGACCATTCGGGAATAAAACACCAAAGAACTGTATTCTTCATCGTACCTCTCTCCGAACTACAAGGCACACTCACTAAAAAAAAACTAAGTGAATAAAAAGATGACATCATAATTCGATCACGTAACTTCAAAGTCAGCACCTAATAGCCCAAGAGAAATTGTACGCATATTATTTCCATATATGGATTGAAATGTTCCTGCGAGGTTCCTAGGACGAGAGATGTTTCTCGAATATACACGAAATTATACGAATGTCCGAGTAACTAAATAATTTCATGACAATATACTGGTAGTTATAGCTTGTCATTCTAGTTTTCTGTATGCTGTACTGTAAGTGCAGTCAAGCGAATGTACAAAACTAAAAATAATTAATAACAAATATAATTTATTTATAGCATTGTCAGGTGATTATCATAATTACTTTCACTACTGACATTTAAAAACAATCTAATGAGTGAGAAAATATACATAGTGATGAAAATAAATATTTCGCAATAAATTGAAAGAATTACATCAGATCCAGTGGTTGTATACTTCAAGTAATAGATAAGCATATAATATAGCTAAAAATTTGGTAACATCTGCCAGCTGTTCAGGTGCTGTGTACATTTCTGTAGCCTAAATATGGAAACAAATTGGGAAAATACCAAATCTAATCTTTTATTTTCAAGACGGCCAAATGATTCTTTTTCAAGTCGGTCGAATGACACTTTTTCAAAACTGCCAAAAGTTTTATTTTTAAGACAGCCAAAAGTTTTATTTTCAAG